ACAAATCAAATATTTTTTTAGGGGATGGGCGAGAATTAACCGGACTTATCATGAATGAACCGGTAATTTTTAGTCTTTTTTTAGATCTATGTACCGAAAATCGAATAATAAAAAAAAAACTGGGTATAAAAATTAGATTAATTTAACCAAATATAGAAGAACCAAGGATGAAAGTCATGGTCGGAGCGTGGTATTTTATAATAAAATTAATATCTTAAAGGCGGTAATCAACCAGATGCAATGTAAATCCGGGGACGGATGATGAAACAAACAGGATAGTGGTAATGCTATAATATGGTAATAAGAGGTTTCTCAGTTTCAAAGAAAAAAAAAAAATTAAACACCTAACCTAGTATTAATGGTAACGATAATAATTTATATGAAAATTTAAAGTTATTATAATCACAAATTTGGAGATAAAATTTGTCATTGTACTTTTATACATTGTACCTAATAAACTTTTAGCCACGTAGTTTCCATAAACGTAGTATAGTATACAGTAAATAGGAACAAAGAAAGAATAGTAATTGAAGATCGCATTAATAAGTTTAGTGAGAAGAAGATGGCATAAAAAACAGTAGATCAATAACAATTTTGAAAAACGTCTAAAAACCTTTTTTCATTTGCATGCAAATAAAAAAAAAAAAGTCGTACTTTTCGTCAGCTTTTACCAAAATAAAAAACAATGAGAGTATATGTGTAATAGAGTGAGTATAGAGATAGTAGATCGCGAGTTCAAATTTTTTTAAGATTTGAATTCAAATTTTTGTGGCGTAGGAAATTATTTACAGTTTAAGAAAAAAGGGAATTAATTGTTCGAATGCATCAAACAAGGAGGGAAAACTTTACCTGAACAGGAAAATTCTTACGTCTGACTAAAGACTATATCATACAAGATCCCCAAATAATGTAGAAACCGAAACAAGTTACAAAACATGATTCGTCTCGTAATATGATCACACGACATCAATCAATCGCCACATAAAAAACTTTCGCGATTATTGGTTGTATTAGCTTTTTGTTTTTTAAACAAATAAACAAATAAAAAGATTTAACAAGTAAAATTTATGCGCCTCTATTCTCGATCAGGATGAATAACAACGCCACTTAACATCAGATCGAACCTAAGAAGTCAATTGATTTTCATCTAATAACATGTATGTAGTCGGTTACGTTCAGTACGTATCGGTATGTATGGTATGTATGTATCAGGTATGTAAGTATCAGGTATGTAAGTAAAATAGAGTAAATGTATGCAAATCACGTGCATAATGGCATATAAGCTATAGCATTACGTATAGTCATACTTTACGTAATCATAATATTACAAAATTACTTTAGATCAAATATAGATTGGATCAAAGGTAGAAGTTTATCTATCTAAGCTCCATCAATCAATCTTTTTAAAATCTAAATAAATAAAAATGACCATCAGCCGTTAACGAAATATCTAAAAAAATTAATTTTTGTACAATATTTTGTATGTACAGTACGAATATGAGTTTTACATATAAATTCAATAATGCAAAAAAATAACTTATTCATGAACAATCGCTGCATCATTCAATTTCATTATTTCACTGTTAATGTATTATTCAATCTCTTGGTAAAAAGAAAATGTTACAACGTTTCGTCATTGTTAGAACTTGGCGTTTTCACAAAATCCTGCCAATTAAAAACGTAGGTTTAAAAGTAAACTGATCTGACATTCTAGTGATACAAAATGATTAAAGTACAAGGTAACATCCGATGGTTTCCTTTTTATTCCTTTTTTATTCCTTTTCAATTCTTTATTTTTTTCCTTTCTATTATTCTTTAGTATCGTTGTACGTAATACTATCCTTCCTGTATTTTAATTTGCCAATACTTTTTCAATGTTTTTTTATTGTGTTTCATAAACATGAAAACAAATAATAAAAATACAAGTGGTCGATCAATAGTTAGGTTAGTAAATTCGGTCATTCATTACCTGAATTGAAAAAAAAACTAGTTTTTTTCTTCCTAAAGAAAATACTTTTTTTGGAATTTGTCAAAAAGTTAATCAGTTAGTCTCTTTCTTAGATAATCTAACATGGAAATACCTAAAACATTATTTAAATTATTTAAAACAAAAACAATTACACCATCATAATAAATAATTATATATTTAAAATATTAGTTTATAACTAAATGTAGAGTTAAATATCTAAGTAATATCTAAATATTTACGGCAAAAAAGCTATTCACCGATACGTAACGTAACTCTAAATTCTAACTACTAAACCAAAATATAGGCATGTCAATTTTAAAAAATATAATCTTATTAATAAGATTTATGAATTTAATTACTGTGTAATTAAAAAATTTTCAATTACTATATGCAGTTTATACGTACTATATGCAGTTTATACGTTTGATGTGCATTTTTGTTGACATGTGGCTAATTTGATGTTTTATTATTTGGTCATTTTTCTTAACTTTTAAAAATATTACTACGTAGTTGTAATTTTTCATCGACTAAAAATATATACGTATACTTATATTAATTAATTAATTATTAATAAATAAATATTTAATACCTAGTGCTAATAAATAAATATTTATAATACCTAGCGCTAATAAATAATTAATATAAATACCTAATAAATAATTAATAAATAATAATATTAATACCTAATAATTAATTAATAAATAATATTATTAATACCTAATAAATAATTAATAAATAATAATGTTAATACCTAATAAATAATTAATAATTAATAATATTAATGCCTAATAAATAATTAATAACATTAATACTTAATAAATAATTAATATTAATACCTAACAAAATATTTAATATTTAATAATAAATACATTAATAAGAAATTATACATAAATTTCGTGTTATGTATGACCGCAGAATCGGCAATTTACAACGATAAATATCTGTCATATGAATAAAAATTTCTCGGATATAACCATTTTAATTACCGATACTTGACTATGAACTATCCGATTTAAGGAATGTACAAAATTTCAACAATAAATTTTAAAACGCGTAATATGAATGGTTATCATGCGTAATAATGAATTTCAAAGACCTTTTAATTGTTACATAAAATACGCGTGTTAGTTTCGTGATTGGATCATGTCTTTAATCATAAATTAATAATAACTCTAACATTTCTGCGTTTGATGACGATATTATCATAATATATGTATGATATTTTATTTAAATATTGTCAAATCCTTTGTTAAAAAAAAAAAATATTATATTGCATGTTTAAATATTTCCTTACTACTTGTGATAATCACAATAGGGATTCGATTCCTATTGTTATTAGCATATATCAATATCGGGATATCGATAAAAGATATACTTACTATAATTTTTTGATAAGTAATCATAAAAGTATAAAAAAGGATATTTCTTTTTAACGTAATAATTAAAGTATATACTAATAAGGAGTAAATATTAATTTATCAAGGGGGAAAATCTTTTTACTGAGTCGTTCGTTTTGTAAGCAAATGCTTGAATAAATTCTTTTTATTAAATTTTGATTACACGACATATTACTTTATATGAATCCAATAATGACTCATTCAAAATTAGTGGCATGGGTAACCAAGATTTTAGATTTAAAAATAATAAAATAATCCAATACCCGATAGTCAATTAAATAAATGTAATTCTCGTTGGCTGTATTTTTGATCCGATCTTTATGATTGTTTGCGTTATCTTTAATTCAAATCTATTCTAATCTATAACAGATAAAATAAATTCTAATCTATAACGGATAAAATAACAGATAAAATAAATTAAAATATATTCTAATCTATCAAATAAATTAAATATTTTCAAAAATATTTTCAAACTTTATTATGATATTTTTTTTTTTTTTTGATTCGAATACGTATTTAAACTTAAATAAATTCTTTAGTTCGTCATTAATAGATTATGATAATCAAGGAATCTTATTCGTACATTTAAAATAAAGCAACCCCTGTAAATCTTATTCGTTCTTCTAAATTCAGAATTTATCAAATATTTACATAACATGCATTTAAGCAAGTTTATTATTCAGCAACTGGTATCACTTCAAGTAATAACTAGATTTTCTTCAAGTTTTAAATAATCAGTCAAAATGCAATAAAATGCAAGAATTTGTTATATAAAAAGTTTATTAAAGAAAAAGACAAAATCTCGTAATACTCGTAATACTTGTTCTGTAACTTTCGTACAAGGTTTATAATAATAATAAAAAACAAACAATTCTCTGCATGATAAATTGAAAAGTGCAAATGCATAACATGAATTATTCGAAAGAATATTAGAATATATGTAAAGAATATGCATATTTGTTCTTGAACGTTCGTTGATTCTAAATTCCAAATTATTATTATTATACGTATAAACCTAAATTCTATATTAGTATTATATGAATCTAAATTTTATATGATATTATATTAATCTAAAATTTATACGTATAATATTCTATGAATGCGAGTCTTTCTTAATGATATAAAAAAAAAAAAACGTATATTTTTTTTTGTGTATAATTTATGCATCATTAAATGAAAATCACGATTAATCTTCCATATGATTATGCCTTAATTAACTATGTTAAAAAGACATTAGATTGCCACGTTTTATTGATTGGTAACTTTTTATAAAAATTATGTAAGGTAAATATGTAACATGTTAATAATTAAGACTGGTATATGCTTGCATCTCTATGGATTATCAGGTCCTTTATGTTGTTATGAAATGCGTTAATAATAAAATAAAATAAAATCTACGATCATAAAAAAAAAAAAAAATTCTTAGTAAGCGGATATAAAATTAAGTCCCGTGTGTGGTAAATTTTGTTAAAATTTGTGTTTAGATGTACATAATGTATGTACAAATAAAACTCAATGACATCAAATGAAACATGTTTTAAAAAAGAGTGATAATGGGTTCTGCATAAACCTATTGTTTTCAAATTTTGTCCTATGTCACATGTACATCAAATTTAAAATAAAATTTAAATATTGGGTGTACGTCAACTGTTGACAAGTAATACAAAGTAATGATCAAAGTTCTACAAAGAAAATACAAGACATTTTTGTTTTTTTTATATGTAACCTTGTTAATATTATTTATTCTTAGATTTTAGGTTCCTTAAAGCGTAGCGTGTCTTACACCTTATTTGTGCAAGTGATACAAACCCAGGGTTTAGCTGTTATCATTTTCTGTTACTTTTTTCTTATCAGTTTGCTCTACATATGTATAGTACACATCATTAAAACTATGTTTGTACGTATCATTAATACTATACGTATTATTTTATGGCT